TTGGCGTAGCGGTTGGTTCCTGGATCGAGCAGGGGGAAGGGCTGGTGACTCAGCGCGGCTTCGGGGCAGATGGTGCAGGTGCGCGGGTGAGTTCCGCCTCTTACTTCGGAGCCGTCAGGGCGCAGCAGTGCGCCAGGTGCGAAGACGCCGGCCTCGATGCAGTTCTTCAGGGTCACGCGCGATGGGTGACCTAGGCGCTGGTGCCAGATGGCATCGTCGGCGCGAAAACCGGAGGTGCGCATGTAGCGCGCGAGTGCCTCTACGGGGTCTTCATCAGGTGCTTGAGCAGGTGTCGCCGCTGCTTCCTCGTTCTCTTCTTCTTCGTTCGCCGTTGTTAACATTAGGGCGAGAAATTCCCTGTCGCGAATGATGGAGTAGGGGATGTTGGTTCCGGGGATCGTGCCGGGGATGAATGTCGGCTCGCGCAGTTCAGGGGCAGGTCCGTAGACAGTGCGTCGCGGGGTGGTTGGCTCGCTACCCCCGACAATGGTGTCCCAGGGGTCACTTCCTGAAGGGATGTCAGGTGGCAGTGGTGCTAATGCAGGGCGGCGCGGAGGGCGTCCAAGAGGAACAACAGGAGGTTCGACCTCAACTTGCGCTGTTTCTTCTTCCTCTTCCCCCCTTTGATCCTCGCGGAAAGCTCCCCAGCCGCTCGTCTCTCCGCCAGATGCTGCGCCCCACCCGCCAGTAGTGACGCCGGTTGCGGCTCCCCAGCCGCCTGCGTCGCCGCCAGTTGCGGATCCCCAACCGCTTGTGTCGCTTGTTCCCCAGCCGCCAGCGCTCCCCCACCCCCCTTCATTGGAGGCGCTTTCCAAGCGCCTTAGTGAGACTCTTCTGTCGAAGCTCTTCGGCTTCGCGTTGTGCCAGTGCCTCTTCCTCCGCCGGCGAGAGTTTCTGCTTCGAATCGCGCCGATGAGCGTATATCGCTGCCGCCTTTTCCTTAGTGTAGGGCCGTGGGTTGCCATGTGCGTCGAAGGTGCCGACACCGACGCCGCGGAGCATCCCTTGGAGGTGCTGAGATGCGGGCCCAGGGAGAGGATTTTCGGGTGTGCCGAAGACGACTCGTGTGGCTGTTTCCAGCTCTAGTTGTGATAGGCCTTCCTCAGGCGGTGCGTCTCGTTCCGCTTCGATGATGGCGGCGAGGCCACGGCCGGCGATTGCGCTTGTCGAGGACGTGGGTGTGTGGCAGTCCCTGCAGACACCATCGGGGTCAGGATCGTGTGGTGCCAGTTCGCGCGGATGTGGGTGGTGAGGCACCCAGGGGCGCCCATCAGGGTGCTTCCAGTCGCGGCGATGAATATGTTCGAAGCGCAGGGGGACGAGATCAATCAACTCCTGCGAATCGCCGCTGCAGTCGGGAATGTCGAAGTCGAGGACGTATACTCCATTCTCGGCGTGCGCCCGTCCGATCTGCCTGCGCATCTTGTTCGGCATTGTGTAGTGGAGCAGAATATCGCGCGTCTTGGGGTCGGTGCTGAGGATGACTCCGCAATCCAGGAGTTGCGCCGCCGAGAGCAGGTTGAAACGGAGATTCTGCACATACAACACGTCATTCAAGGTGATGTGTGTTCTGCTTCCATGTGCCTTGAGCACAACAATGCCTTGCGCGCTTGCGCGCAGCCGTGTATTGTTCGCCACAGTGACGTAAGTGACGGCGGGGGTGGCGACGGTGTTGGATATGTAACGCTCAGAGCCCACCATGTGCTGCCCACAGCAGCTGCCCAGGTACCACGTGTTGTAGTGCCTGTTGTCGTTTCGCGCGAGCAGCGCCAGTCGCGGAGTGACGATGTGCGGAGTGTCAACCTTCAAGAACTGTTCGCGTGCGATCCAGTCGATTGGTGCCGGCCGCATGTCAGGTACGTGCGGGGGGCTGTCAAGCAGCGGGACTGGGAGATTCCAGTCCTGGTTGTTGTCGTCGCTGAAGTCGTGATGCGTGCTGAACGGATTGTTGTTCGAGGACGCTCCGATTGGGTCAGGCGCCAGCTCGGGTGAAAGTGAGCGCGCGCGCGGGCGACGAAAGCCGCTCGTCATGGTCATGTTCCCCATGACATTGCGGACGGTGGCAGCCTGTGATGGCTGCTGCTGCTGCTGAGTTGTCGGATTCAGGTTACGCGATGGGGGTTGATACCCCTGGACGGGACGCGTGTCGTTCCTCGCGTCTTGTCGGCCGGACCAGGTGCTCGGATTGGTCTGACGAGGGCAAGATCGATGCTTGCATCGGTCCGCCAGGTGCCCGAAATTCCTGCAGATTTTGCAGTAGAGGCGCCGCGGCCGTCGCTCTTCCGTGTTGTCCGCGTAGAAGGCGAGGCGTTCTCTCTCTCGTCGTGGCGCTGGTCGCTGCTGGTCCATATCCCGTTGTTCGACGAGGAGGGCGGCGCAAAGGGCGGCCTCCGAGATGACCCCCTGCTGTCGGAGAAGCGCCTTGCAGGGCCGCCACTCGGGGCCGAGCCCTTGGAGCACGATATTTACGAAGATTTCCTCAGAAATCGTGCTCCCCAATTTCGCGATTTGATCGCGTAAGCTCCGACAGCGATTCAGGTAACTGTTGGTCTTCTCTCCTGGTGCCATTTTAGTCTCCAGTAGCTGCTGGAGCAGGCGGCTCGACGACACTGAGTCCTTGGGTTGGTACACGCCGTTCAGGTGGCGCCAGGCGTTGAGGGCTGGAGCAGGCGAGGTTTTGTATGAGCGAATGCTCAATTGCTCCGTCGGCGACATGTTCCGCAGAAGAACCCCGTACGCCATCAGGGACTCGTTGTAGTACTTGGTTTTTGCGTCGTCAGTATCCTCTGTAGGTCCCGAGTAGCTCCCGTCGAAATAATGATAAATCTGCGCGTTTTGCAGCAGCAGCTCCAGCTCGAAGCTCCAGGTATAGAAGTCTCTGCCGTCAAAGCACACACTTGTCTTTATTTTTGATATGCTCAAAAACCTTGATTGCGCAGAGAGAATTGCTTCATCGCTGGGACAGGAAGTTTTGGGTGTTGAGCCGTTTGTGTCAAGAGAGAAGCCTTGCGGGGCGGAGTTCTGGCCATTCGCGGCCGGTTGAGTGGGTTGGGAAGATGTTCCCGCATCGCCATTCCGCAATGTTTGGAGCCCTTCCTCCATGCTCGTGAGTCGCTGAAGCAGTTGTGCGAGGACGACGGAGGGAATTGTCGTCGTTTCCTCGCTTGTCGCAGCCGGGTTGGTCTGCGCTTCAGCCGTCAGATTCGTCTGACCTCCAGATCCTCCGGCCATTCTCACACGTGAGCGTGTGCCGGACGCCACTTTCCGTTCGCCGAAGATTTCGGTGGTGGCGGTGCGAAGGATTCCTGAGTCGCTCTCATACCATGTTGCGATCAGAAGTTGATCAACCTCAGGATCACCTCAGGAAGGTTCGCACAGTCCTAGTCTAGTGGTGGGCCCTTGACCTCAATAGCAGAGTGAATGTAAATGCTTGAGATAATAAAAACATGCAGTACAAGGAATATAAGTAAGAGTACAAGGGAATTCGAAACGACCTAGCTGGCCATGTACTCTAAGGGGTACATTCCCTTATTGCAGCGAAATCCAACCGTGCGACTCCGGGTGGTTACGGAATTGTTCGGGCAGAATCCTCGCCACTGCTGCTGCCTGATGCTGTCTGCCCGACGGTCCAGATGCTCCTCGTAACCGTGCGTCCCTTCGCATTACTTCCGCCCTTTCGTCTTCGTCCTCGGTAGTACATGCTTCGCTTGCTACGGTGAGGAGTGTACAATAGTGTTTCAATAATCACTATTCGTAACAGGTTGGGCAAGGTAAATCCGAAGGTGACGCGAGGCAGCCTCGGAATCGTGGATGTCGGCCGAACGTGTGAGTCCGGAAGTTGGGGTTGTACGCGAAGCAGTCAACCCCGATTAAGAAAAAAGAACTTTCCTCACACAAAACATGACTAGTTACGTTGCATTGCATCAATGCATGTTACATCATTCGTGGGAAAGAATCTTACAATTTGGGTGAACAAACCAAGTTTGCACTATGGGGACAAGCCTCGTATTTCGCTATAGAGATTATGAGCCATAATACCGTAAAAAGGGATGTGCATTAATTAGCAATTATTTGGTTTTATGATCCTTGGGCAGGTGGTGCTAAGGTGTTTTAGCACAGGCAAAACAGCTCAGGAATGGGTAAAATCAGGAATACCGATGCACGTTTGGTTATCACGTTTTCGTACAGAAACTTCACATCACACAAGCCACACGTCCAGCCACCGTCAGAACCATCCTCACGGCAAATTGTTGGCATCCCTGTGGGCCACGTGTGGAACCAACTCACTGCTCCTTGGCCCAGTTCAGCACGGCACTGCACCGCGCAGAAATGTAGTGCACCACACTGCACAGAACGTTGCAACGACGAGTGTGTACAACTGCAGAGAGGGCAAGCCAAGCACACCTCAACAGTGGCTTCGTGGCGAAGCGTGGAACGTGGAACATGGATCATCACTCCGTTCCAAGTTCCAACAACCTCCAGCTGTTGTCATTCCTCATACACTCTGGCATGACTTCATTCCGCTCGTACTGGATTTGAATTATTTCGTATGCTCGCGTACTTTCACGGGCGGACTGATTAGACTCCGACTATTGCATGTCGTCTCTTTCTTGTGGGTGAAGCGCTCGTAGCACCGCCGAACCATGACGACTCTCCCGCCGCTTCGCGGGGGAGCGCGAACGAGGCATCGCGCAGAGCAGCAGCACGCGGCTGATTATTCGTCCACAGACGCCTTCATGCTCGCCACGCTCGCAACCGCGCCGAGCCACGACTGCTCCTTGTCGCACGACTTGTCGCACGCGTCGCACGCCTCCTCTGGTGCCTCGCGAACCTCGCAAACCAAACTCGACGAGCAATGGCCGCCTCGAAATCTCCGACCGCGAAACCCTAACGGCACAGCGCACGCGAAGGCAGATTCTGGTAAAAAGGTCAAGAAAGGCGGCGCGCGGAACGGGGACAGGGCGGAGGGAGAGAGTCAAGACAGCTTAGGTGACGCAAGTATGGGTAGTGAAAGCGTCAGTAGGGTATGCAGGTCTGGCAGCGCGAATGCAGACGGTTTAGTCGCGCGCGTTAGGAAGAATCTCGCAGACTTGCGTCCGTTTGACGAGTCGGTCAATAACGCGGACGTTGGAGCCGGTAGGAATGCGGACAGCGGAACGGGGGCGGGGCAACTGGGGAGAGAGAACGCGCAAGGAGGAGGCGAAGGAGGCGGAGGAGGTGGAGGAGGCGAAGGAGGGGGGCCCGGTGGCGGAGTGCCATCAGGCGGAGTGCCGTCCGCCAGAACAGTCCCTTCCGCCCGCGCAGTTCCGCGGAGGAGGCGGACGGCGGGCGGGTGCAGCTTCGACAGCTCCTTCGACCCCGTGCTCTCCACCTCCCCGCCCGCGCCCATGAGTGCCAGCGATTGCGACGCCCCCAAGCCCAAGGGGCGCAGGGCAGCGGCGGCGGCGGCGCTCGCCGCCAACGCCTCGTTAGAGGCCCCTCCGATACCGCGCACCGCCACCAGCTCTTCCGCCGCCTCCAGCTGCTCCGCTGCTTCCGCCGCCTCCGCTCCCCCGGGCGCGCTGAAGGGGGTGCCGCCCGTGGGGGGATCGCGGGGGCACAGCAGGAGCCGCTCGCACGGGGGAGGGTCCGGGCGGCTGCTGTCGCGCCTGGCGCACCAGCCTGGCGCAGAGCTCCCCGCAGACGCGGGCGCTGGCGCCGCTGCTGCGCCATCCGCCGCCGCCTCTGCTGCTGCAGGCGCTGCTGCTGCGCCCTCGAGCGCTGACTGTGGTGCTGTGGAGGGGGGGAAGAGCGGCGGGGGAGGCGGGCATGCGGAGGGACTGCCGATGCTGCCCCATCCTGACGCACCTCAGATTGTGAAGGTCCGTATTCGAACCGCGCCCCTTCTCTGCCAGCTCTGTGCATTGTCATGCCTCCCCTCTCCCCTCTCCCCTCTCCCTTCTCCCCTCTCTCCCTTCTCCCTTCTCCCTTCTCCCTTCTCCCTTCTCCCTTCGCCCCTCCCTTCTCTCCTCTGTCTCTTCCTTCTCCCTCCTCCCTTCTCCCCTCTCCCTTCTCCCCTCTCCCTTCGCCCATCTCCCTCTCCCCTCTCCCCTCTCCCCTCACCCCTCTCCCCTCACCCCTCACCCCTCACCCCTCTCCCCTCTCCCCTCTCCCTTGTTATACCTTTTCCGTCCCCACTTCCTTCTCCCCTGCAGTGCCAGAGCTGCAGCAAGTCTCTTGCAGTGCCGCCCAACCTGCCGCCGTCCGCCAAGGGCTATCAGCAACCAGCTACTGCGGTGCAGCAAGTGCTTCTGAGGCGCCTCGAAAGCAGACTCCCTTGGTCCCTTTCCGTCTACCTCTGAACTTTCACCTCTATCCCTTCTTCCCGCTCCCTCATCCCTCCTCCCTACACCCCCCTGCAGTGCCAGAGCTGAAACAAGTGCTTTGCAGTGCCGCCCAACCTGTCTCCACCCGCCAAGGGCAACCAGCAACCAGGGCATGCAGCGCGGCCAGACTTTCTGAACCGCCTAAAAAACAGACTCCCTTTGCCCCTCTCCATCTGCCTCCATCTATTCACCTCCCTCCCCCATCCGTCTCCCTTGTTCCCGCTCCCTGCGTCCCCTGCAGTGCCAGAGCTGCAACAAGTCCCTTGCAGTGCCGCCCAACCTGCCGCCCTCCGCCAAGGGCTATCAGCGCCTGCGCTGCGGCAAGTGCCTCCACATCTCGAAATACGCCCTCTACTCCCCCGCTGCCGCTGCTGCCTCTGCTGCTGGTGCTGCTGCTGACCTGGAACAAGTGCAGGAGGAGTGGGAGGGGAAGGAGGGGGAGGAAAACGGGGCGGAATATAATGGGGCGGGAGGGGGAGAGGCGGGTGAGAGAAGTGGAGGGAAAGGGGAGGAAGGTGAGGAGGGACCCGGGCATTTCACACGTACAATGCGAACTCTTACCACCAGCAACAGTGGCAGCAGCAACTACAACAGCAACAGCAGCTGCCGCTGTTGCAGCAGCAGCAGCAGCAGCAGCAGCAGCAACTGCAGCAACCGCAGCATGATCATCAACAGTCGCAGCAACACCAGGAGCAACTGCAGCAGCAGCAGCAGCAGCAGCAGCAGCAGCAGCAGCAGCAGCAGCAGCAGCAGCAGCAACAGCAACAGCAACAGCAACAGCAACAGCAACAGCAACACCAGCAACAGCAGCAGCAGTTGCAACAGCAACAGCAACAGCAGCAGCAGCTGCAACAGCAGCAGCTGCACCTGCCACCGCCGCCGCTGCAGCAGCAGCGGTGCCACCGTCGCTCTCCCTCCACAGGCGCAGCAGCAGTGGTGGCAGCAGCAGTGGCGGCAGCAGCAGCCACCGCCGCCAGCAGCACCGGGCGGCACGAGTCCCCCTTCCGCAGTAAGGCAGCCCTCGCCAAGGGCGGCAAGGCCGGCGGGGGGAAGGACAGCAAGGCAGGGGGGAAGCACCAGCGGCGAGCCACAGTGGACTCGGCAGAAGTGCTGGGGGCGTGGGAGAGGGAGGCCGGGCAGGCCGGTGGTGCCGGCAGTAGCAGTGGTGGGCGCAGTGGGGGGGGTGCGGGTGCAGGTAGGGGTGCAGGCGGGGTTGGGGGTGGGGGTGCGGGTGCGGGTGGGGGAGGGGGCAGTGCGATGCCTCCTCGTCCCAGCACGAGCAGTGGTGTGAGTGAGCCGGCAGTGGCGTCTGGGTTTGGTCCCTGGGATGCTGCCACTGCCATGCACGCTGCTGCTGCCGCCGCTTCTGCTGGTGGTGCTTCCGCTGCCCTCCCTCCATCGAGCTTACCCCCATTGGCTGCGCATCCCGGCCCACCTGGAGTGTTCCCCTCAGGCGGAGTTGCAGAATTCCTGAGGCAGCAGCAACTTGCATGGCAGCAGCAGATGGGCGCGGATATGATGCTGCAGGGGCAACCCATGGTGGCAGCGGGCATAATTCCCCCCATGGCCGCGCAACAGTTTTCACTGCCCATGCAGCAACCCGCCATGCAGCAGCCTTTTCCCCCTAACCCTGTGTCCGCTGCAGCAATGCCCTATGCTCTGATGGGGCAGGGCATGCCAGGCATGCTGCTGCCGCCAGGGGGAATGGGGCAAGGGGGAATGGGGCAAGGGGGAATGGGGCAAGGGGGAATGGGGCAAGGGGGAATGGGGCAAGGGGGGATGGCGCCAGGGGGGATGGGGCAAGCGGGCATGGGGCAAGGGGGTGTGGCCGCAGGAATAAATGGCATGGGCATGGGGATGGAGATGGGTATGGGCGTGGGCATGGGCATGGGCATGGAGATGGGAATGGGGATGGCTGGGCCAATGGGGGGAGCCATGGGGGGACCGGGGATGATGGGGCCGCTGGGCGAGGAGGGGGGCTACAGCCGGCGAGTGGTGGTGAACAGTGTGCCCATCACCGACCCGGCTGTAGCGCGCGCAGAGGAGCTCGCTGGACCCATCCACCCCGGCAGCTACTGGTGAGTGAGAGCTGCTGCTACTGGTGTGGTGAGAGGCGGTGGTGAGGGGTGGTGGTGAACAGTGTGTCCAATACCGGCCCAGCTGAAGCGCGAGCTGAGGAGCTTGCTGGACCCATCCATCTCGGCAGCTACTGGTGAGCCGTGCTGCTGCTGCTGCTGGTGAGCGCTGGTACAGGTGATGTTGGCGCTGCTTCTGCTGCTCCTATCTGTCAGCATCTGATAGATAGGAGGGTGCTGCTAGGGAAATACTGCCAGGAGAGGGAACTACTAGTGCAGGTGGTAGGTGAGGAGTGCAGGCGGCTCTCAAGGTCACAACAGCCAAGTGCTCGCACAATAGCCCTTGCTAAGTTGTCTCCGACCACTCTCCAATCTAGTGAAATTAACTCCGCTTTACTCACGAGCCAGTGGTATGTGTGCTGCGCTGTGTGCTGTGGTGTGCTGTGGTGTGTGCTGTGGTCTGTGCTGCAGGTACGACGTACACGCTGGCTTCTGGGGAGTCATGGGAGGGCCTTGCCTCGGGATTATCCCGGTATCTCCCTCGCGCTTTTTCCCTCCATCTTCCAATCTGCCCACTACTGCCTTCACTGGTATCTCGTTCACTGTTCTCTCTCGTTGCAGCACTGTTCTGTGCCCTTTCTCCTTTCTTTCACTGTTCTCTCTCCTCCCATCACTGTTCTGTTCTCTCTCCTCCCATCACTCTTCTGTTCTCTCTCCTCCCATCACTGTTCCGTTCTCTCTCCTCCCATCACTGTTCCGTTCTCTCTCCTCCCATCACTGTTCTGTTCTCTCTCCTCCCATCACTGTTCCGTTCTCTCTCCTCCCATCACTGTTCTGTTCTCTCTCCTCCCATCACTGTTCCGTTCTCTCTCCTCCCATCACTGTTCTGTTCTCTCTCCTCCCATCACTGTGCTCTCTCCTCCCTTTACCTATCTCTCCCATGCGTCACCGCTTCTCACACCATCTCTGCATAACCTTGCTCATTCGCTGCAGTACATATCTCTTCCCCTTCCTCCTTTCCTCTCCCGCCCGCGCCTGTGAGTGCTCTCCACGTGTTCCGGCCCCCTGTTTCACATCCTTTCCCTCATTCCTGACCGCCGCCCTCCACAACCTCATTCCCCCCTTCCTCCCACACACGCTACTGCGGGTACCTACCATGTATCGCTAGCTCCCCTGCTCCCATTGCCCAACCGCCACACACATGCTGGTGAACGGCTGGTAGCTGCATCGGCAGCACCGACACATGCTCATGCCTCCCGTCCCCTTCCTGCTTTCCATGCACCAACTCCGCCACCCCACCCCCCCCACCACCAACCCGCATGCAGGCGGGCATCTGGGACCTCGCCCTAGCTCCCGCCGACACATCAGCATCTACTCACCCTCATGCCTCCCTTTCCCCGCCTACTTCCCATGCACTGCCTCCTCCGCTCCCCCCACCCCCCAACCCGCCTGCAGGCGGGCATCTGGGACCTCGCCCTGACTCGTCTGCTGCGCCACTGCTCCAACGGGCACACGTGAGTGCTGGTGAATGGCAGGGAGCTGCAGCGACGGGACCTCAACATCCTCATGCCTCCCTCTCCCCGCCTGCTTCCCATGCACTGCCCCATTCGCTGTCCCTCTATCCCCTTTTTCCCCTCTTCCCCATTGCAGGCGGGCATCTGGGACTTAGCATTGGCCCCCCTGCTGCGGCACTGCTCCAACGGGCACACGCGAGTGCTGGTGAACGGCAGGGAGCTGCAGCGCCGGGACCTGGACATTCTCATGCAGAGAGGCCTGCTGGACCACCCTGGCGCCGCCTACCTGCTGGACATCCACGGGAATCTGGCCGATGCCACCAATGGGGAGCCCCTGCCCTGCCTCGGGAAGCTCGCCCCCTCGTGAGTTCGCCTCCTCCTCTTGTCTCCCTCGCACTCGTCTCTACCTTTTGGGACGTCTCATGAGTCGTCCTCAAAGCTCATCCCTTGGTGATGATATGATGCCGGCAGAAAGCACTGTGGTGTGGAATGTCTGGTATTCAGCATTTATAGATGCTTGTGAGGTGCATGTGGCTGTCCTTTTCACACAGCTTTTGCTTTTTGGATGGTACGTTTGGAAGGACGCTATGAGCTCAATTGCTGCATCTCATGTTGTGGTGCATGCAGGCTGGAGCTCAAAGGCAGGGGGGCCGGGATGTATGTACCCAAACAGCCCACGTAGCCATTAACTCAGCCATTACCGTAACTTTATTGTGCACTGGAAGTGAGGGCTACATAGTCAATGGTCCTCCCAGAGTGATATGGGGAACCCAGAGGCTGCTGGCCGGTCAAAGTGCAATGTTCCTCAAGTTTCAACCATTGTCAGGTGGCATGCCTTGTTCTTTCAAACCATACACCCGGTTTTCATACTCACATCGTCAATGTACTGTATCTTCACGAATCAAGGCTCAGGTTAGTGCAGTACATACCCCACATGTACCGCATTGTGAGTCTGTCTCCACTCAAGTCATGAATCTCACCAAACTCTGGATTGAACTGAACCCAAATGTAGGACCTGTGTAAGTTGTTTTGTGTTCCAGGAAGGGCATGTTCCTACGCATCAGACGCATCCCTTGTCAGACTTGAGCGGTTCAATGCTTTTCAGTGCAATTGAATGTGATTGCATATGATACAGAGCGGTGCGCCGCGAGTCTGACAGGAGGATTTCCTGTCCTGATAAGAGGCCGTAGGAACACGCCCTAAGGTAAGGGCCAGTAGCTACAAGCCAAGGTAGGGACCCCAAAATCCCTAAGTCTGGTCTAGAGAGGTTGTTTTGTGTTCCAGTAAGGTAGGGTAGGGACCTGCAGCTTCAAGCAATAGCACGATGTGTCAAGTTCCACCAGAATGAAAGTGAGAAGCATAAGTGATCATGTGCCAAAATGAAGCTCCAGTGCACACTGAAAGCTGCACACTGAAAGCATGTGCCATGGATTCGCACAGCAATGGCTGCAATTGGACAACGAAACAGGTCAGGCTGGAGGCCAGGCGGGGCAACAGGCTCCAGAAGGGAGAGAAGCAGTGATAATGGCAACGTGAAGGAACCACACAAAACCAGGATGAACGTCACTTCATCAAGCACGTCATCCGCCTGGGTTTCAGCACTCTTACGCATGGCTCAAGAGTTTGAAGAAGAGCTGTATCCACTATAGGGGAGATTTACTCCATACAAGCATGACAAGTACTACCAGATCATGACATTACAGATGACATTCCTGATAAATACGATTACCCGCTTCACTTCTTGGCAGCAGCGGCCCTCACAACTGCCTGGGCAGCAGCCAGTCGCGCGATGGGCACACTGCAATCATAAGAAAGGCGAACAATTTGCGTTAAGACAGGTCCTGACGTGCGTCAGACAATTGAGAGAACAAGGCTGGGCGTGAGAAGGAAGGCGTACCGGAAGGGCGAGCAGGAGACGTAGTTGAGGCCGCACTTGGCGAAGAACTCGACGGACGACGCCTCGCCGCCTTGCTCTCCGCACACGCCCACCAGCAGGTCAGGGCGCGCGGCGCGGCCACGCTCCACGGCCATCTTGATGAGCTGGCCCACACCGGCCTGGTCGAGCACCTCGAAGGGGTCGTTCTGGAGAATGCCGAGCTCCAGGTACTTGGGCAGGAACTTGGACACGTCGTCGCGCGAGTAGCCGAACGTCATCTGAGTGAGATCGTTGGTGCCGAACGAGAAGAACTCGGCGCGCTCTGCGATCTGGTCGGCGATGAGGGCCGCGCGGGGCACCTCAATCATGGTGCCCACCATGAAGGGGACCGTCACCCCGGTCTTAGCGGCCACGTCGGCAATGACATGGCGGATAATCTCCTCCTGGTGCTCGAACTCCTGTGGGACGGGAAGCCAGAGAGATGGGGCATTAGTTTTGAGAGGTGCAGTAGCAGGCATGTTTGCTTCGTGCATGGTTCATTTTTCTTTTCTTCTAGGCCTTGCAATCCCATTATCCTCTTCCCTCACCCTCAGCCCATTGCAGAGACCCGAGACTTGCCTGGGTGGTTCCGACGAGCGGCACCATGATCTCGGGGTGCACCTTCTTGCCCTCCTTCTGCACCGCGCTCGCAGCCTCGAAGATGGCGCGCACCTGCATCTCCGACAGGTCCTCGTACCCGATACCCAGCCTGCACGCACCACACAACCAGTAACGGTTAAAGCTTTCAGACCTCAGCAACGAATGCACTGGGAAGCACAGCGTTTTGGAAAACCTTGTCGCAGTGAGAAAGAATCAGGAGAGAATGGTTACCGGCAGCCGCGGAAGCCGAGCATGGGGTTGACCTCCTGCAGCTCCTCGATGCGGTTGAGGATGTCCTCCTTCTTCACGCCCACGTCGCGCACCAGCTCGTCCACCACGTGGTCCGCGTGCACGTGGTCCGCGCCGTGGATGTTGGGCAGGAACTCGTGCAGCGGCGGGTCCAGCAGGCGGATGGTCACGGGCAGCCCGTCCATGGAGCGGAAGATGCCCTCGAAGTCCGACCGCTGGTACGGCAGCAGCTGCTCGATCGCCGCGTGCCGCTGCTCGGGGTTGGTGGCCAGAATCATCTCGCGCACCTTCATGATGCGCTCGTCCGACGCGAAGAACTGCACGCAGGGGGTAGCGGGGTTAAAGGGGCCGTGGCGTTAGGCACGAATGGAAGGGACGGCCTTCAGGAAAACAGTAGCGCAAGTGAATGAATGAATGAACAAAGAAATTAGCAAGGAACTCACCATGTGCTCCGTGCGGCAGAGGCCAATGCCCTGAGCGCCCTTCTCCCTGGCGGCGGTAGCATCCTCGGGGGTGTCAGCATTGGCCATGACGCGGAGCTGCCGCGTCTCGTCCACCCACTTCATGAACGCGCCCAGGTCGCCGCTGATGGACGGCGGCGACAGCTTCTGCTGGCCGGTGATGACCTCGCCGGTGGTGCCGTTGAGCGAGATCCAGTCGCCCTCCTTGAGCTTCTTGCCGCCCAGCTCCATGGTGCGGTGCACCTCGTCGATGTGCAGCTCCGAGCACCCCGCAATGCAGCACTTGCCCCACCCGCGCGCCACCACGGCGGCGTGGGAAGTCATACCGCCGCGCGCGGTGAGGATACCGGAGGCGGCGTGCATGCCGCCGACGTCCTCGGGGGAAGTCTCCATGCGCACCAGGATGGTGTCCTTGCCCTGCGCCTTCCACGCCTCCGCGTCCTCGGGGTGGAACACCACCTGCCCCACAGCAGCGCCGGGGGAGGCGGGCAGGCCAGTGCCGAGCACGTCGGTCTTGTACGCCTTGGGGTCGGCGAACTGGGGGTGCAGCAGCTGGTCCAGGTGGCGGGGCTCCACCATGAGGATCGCCTGCTGGGGCGTCACGAGGCCCTCAGCGACCATGTCGACGGCGATCTTCACGGCGGCGAGGCCGGTACGCTTGCCCGTGCGGCACTGGAGCATCCAGAGCGCGCCCTCCTGCACCGTGAACTCGATGTCCTGCATCTCCTTGAACTCCTTCTCCAGAATCTCGCAGTTCTTGCAGAGCTCCTCGTACGCCTGGGGGAGCACCTTCTTCATCGTGTCGATGTCCTCGGGCGTGCGGATGCCCGCCACCACGTCCTCGCCCTGCGCGTTGATCAGGTACTCGCCGTACAGCTTGCGCTCGCCGTTGGACGGGCTGCGAGTGAAGAGCACGCCGGTGCCGGAGTTGTCGCCCATGTTGCCGAACACCATGGCCTGCACGTTCACGGCCGTGCCCTTGAGGCCAGAGATCTTGTTGATGGTGCGGTACTTGATGGCGCGGTTGCTGTTCCACGAGTTGAACACCGCCATCACCGAGTGCTTCAGCTGCTCCTTGGGGTCTGCGGAAGAGAAAAAGGAAAGCACAATGCGGAGTAAGTAGAGTGTTCGAAATACACAGACACATGGCAATGCGAACAGAGCAGACTTTGTTGAAACAGGAGCTGCGAACACATGATTTTTTCCTCTGTGTTTTATTTTATTGGAATACTTTTTGCGACAGAACAATGCTTACCGGAGGGAAACTCCTGTCCAGTGGCCTTGAGGTAGACCGCCTTGTACTTGGTGACGAGCGTCTTGAGGTCCTCATTGTCGAGCTCCGTGTCGACCTTGACGCCCTTGGCCTTCTTGAGCGCCGAGAGCTCCGCCTCGAAGAGAGAGTGCGACACGTTCATCACGACGTCGCCGAACATGTCGATGAAGCGACGGTACGAGTCATACGCGAATCGCTCGTTACTCTTCTTCGCGAGGCCAACGACGACCGTGTCGTTGAGACCCAAGTTGAGCACGGTGTCCATCATACCAGGCATGGAGACCTGAAAGAAAAAAAAGTCAAGAGTTAGAACCTGCCGTATAAATGCCACTTTCGACCAAATGACCCGCAAGAAACTCGGAAAAAACGAGTGATGTCAGCTATTACATGGCATGCACCAAAGAAGTTCAGAAACATTGATAGGGAGCCGCGGGTTTACTTACAGCGGCACCAGAGCGGACAGACACGAGAAGAGGATTCTCGGGGTTGCCGAACTCGAAACCGGTGTTCTTCTCAACGGTCTTCATGCCGTCGAGAATCTCCTGCCACAACTCATCGGTGAGCTTTCCGCCGCTCTTGTGGAAGTCTTCACACGCCTCGGTGGTGACGGTCAGGCCAGGAGGCACCGAGAGGCCAATGCGAGACATTTCGGCAAGGTTTGCACCCTTCCCGCCGAGCTGCACGAGGAAAAATGATAAGTTAGTACTCGTCGACGAGAGTCTTGTAGACCATGATTAAATAATGCGAGGCGCTTCTTACCAGTTGCTTGAGAGACTTGTCTCCTGCGCTGTAGCCCTTGCCGAAGACCCATACCCTCTGCGATAATATCACGAGATACGGTAAGCGACATGATACAAACATAAAATACG